ATTTTTGTCAGTGAAGCTTAATAATGGGAAGCAGGACTCCCAGTTCTATTTCTGACTTGTGGTGGTTTGTTTGTAAACCCACTGTGTAAGAGTAAACCTTTTGTATCTGTCTCAGTTGACCCATTTCTAGTATGTGTCCCAGAGTATATTTCACATCACTCTTCATTCTGAAGACTAATAAACTCCACAAAGTGGTAAGCAAAAATTTTATAATTTTGCATAGTTATAAAACTTTCAAATCTAGTCTTCTTTTTTATGGAGAAATTATGTCCAGACGAAACACTGTTAGTTAGGGATTTAAATTTTACTGTTTGCTTTCAGTTAGTCTGAGCTAGATGCAGCTTGCTGTACATGAGAATGTCTGAAAAGTCATGTTAACTACATAGGCAGAATTTAAAAAAAAAAAACTTGAATGGTTCTTTTAATATTCAGGCTTTGCAGCTCCTGTTTTTGCACAGTTTTACTCCCTAGATGTTTAGCATTATGTAATTGATCTGACCATGGTTTTCCTCACTGGTCTCATCCATGCATGGCAGAAAACCTAGTAATCTGTAAATTGTGTGGAGAAAAGAGCAGATCAGAGACTGTCCCTTGTCATTTGGTATTTGAGTGCCCCTACATGTGCCATATATTAGTTTTATTTTCTACCGTGACACCTAGCTATGAGAAAAGAACTCTCCAGAGCATCTTAAAAGACATCTTCTATTAAAGATGGAAAGAGTTAAGCAAAATGCAGACAATAGATCTCACAGCTGGAGGTAAAAATAATATACCAGGGTGTTTCGCATGCTTTAATTGGAAGAGAGGCATAAAAGTGTGGAGCTTAGTTCCTCTTGCAAGAATGTTTTGTAGCAAAGTGCTTGGTGGAGGTTGAATGGGGAAAGTGAAGGTAGGTGGAAATCTGTGTCAAAGCTGTGACAAAATGCGTGGAAAATGCCCAGAAAAACAAATTACTGTAACGCTTAAGTTTTACATAGGATTCCCTACAGGTCATAATTTTCCCTGTGAGGAAACAGAAGTTTATATTGGAGAAGGTCAGACAGCCCACTGTGGTGCTGAAGATGGATGTGAGGGCCTCCTGTGCAAGATTAAATTTGAGAGAAAGCAGCAAATCAGAAAATAGACATGGCATCCAATTAAGCTCGTACAGAAAGTGATCCGGTATAAGCCCCGTTTCTGTCTTCCTGGTGCTAGGCAAAAAGGGCCCAGTTTGAAAGCTTTGCTTTCCCTGTCTTCATGGGACCAATTGCCACTGAGAAAAGGAATGCTGGAGAAGAAAAGAACTGGATTCTTAGGTGTAAATTCAGTAATGGGTTGTTGGATAAAGACTGCAGAAAATCCAGCACTTTGGAGTTTCTCAGAAATGTCTCCCTGTAAATATATACTCTCATGAATTTTACTGAAGTAAGGAGTTTTGTGAAGTTGGATTTTGTTTAATTTAGTCGGGCCCATGTCCAAACCAGCTTGGCCTATATATTGGCCTAATGACTAGTGGACTGGGATGATACCAATTATATTGTTCCCGCTGCAAGAAGCATAAGGATTGATGAGTACTTGTGTGGTGTTCTTTGCCTGGACCAGTCCAGGAGCCCAAGTAAAGCGTGAAGGCTGCTGCCCAGCTGTCTTTTGTAGTGGTTAAAGAACTGACTGTGCTTTTTATAGGAGCTGAGGATGACAATTACTTGAATTCATATTCAGAGTCTACAGTTTGATAGTGATGTTTTGTTTTGCCTAAATTGCCCTATTCTTCCCATTAGATCCTTGTCCTTTTTAGAAGAAAAACCAAAACAACAAACAAAATCAAACCCAACAAGCTGTTTGATACTGCTGATACAGGATGTCTGTGATGTTCCAGCTCCAGAAACAACCTCATTTAAATGTTGGGCAAAGTAATTCTTGCATTCAAACAGGGAGAGGTTGTAATTAAGCTTTGTGCACTGCTACCTGAGAAGAGATGCTTTTTAAATGTGAACCATATACATCATTATTAGTGCAGCTGGCCTGTTGCCCCTCAAAGCACTGATTATTTTCTCTAACAGCTACTCCAGTTCCTCTGCTTTTTTTGTTTCCTGTTATCTCACAGGACATCAGCAATCCCTTTGCCAAATTTCTTAGTTAAATTGTGGCACTCCAGACTCATAGGAAGAGAATTTATCTGCACTCAAGCAGTTAATTGCTTCAGCTAGCATATGGCATTGTCCTTTGAACAGTGGAGATTCAGAAAGTGTATGAATACCGTTGGAAGTGAATCTCTTTGAAAGTTGTTCTGTCTTGGTGAGGAAGTTAAGACAACTAGTAATGGATTTTGTATTTTAGATATGCTTTTTGAAATGGTCCAAACCTGTGTTATTGAGGTATTTTGAGAGATGCTATACTTTAAAAGGGCTGGATTTTCTGTTTATATGTTTATATACTTTGCTTAGCTTGGCCTCTTTGGGTTCATTTACTCATTGAGTGTTAGTGCTTAGTTAGGTGCTTCAGTACGCAATTCCTGAGTAAATTTGTCCATTGTATCTCATTCTCTTTCACATATGTTTCCCAGAGGAGTTTCGTCAGCCAGATCTATTGAAGGAATAATTATTTCATCAGGATTTAAAGTATATCTTGATTGAACTTTGAAGACAATCTCTTGAGGAGTTTTTATCATTTCAACAAGGGAGCCTAGCATGTAAACAAGGAAATAAATGTTATCTTTCATATTAATCAACAAGATGATTAAATAATAACCACAATTTTTAATTGGTACTTGGAGATAGAGGGTAATGACTGTCTTGAGTTCCACAATGGGAGTACCAACAGGTAGAGACTCTTTTCTGCACAATAAAACTGCATATCATTTATGAAGCATTATGATTTTAATGTGCAGCTGCAAGCATAGAGAAGTTGTGCAACTGTTTGCCTGGTGTCCTATTTCAGGCATATGTTTTCTTACTGAATGAGGTATTAGCAAGGGGATTTGAGATTTAGGCAGTTAAATCAGTTCTCATTGCCACCAAACCGCTGAGGTTCTGTATAAACGCATGCTTGCAGTGTTTTGCTTCACTGTGGGATGCAGTTCCTGCTGGTTCCAGGATGCAGAAGAGTCAAAAGCTGCTTCTTTCCTCAGAGCCAAAAGTCCAACTTGTCCCTCACAAGACAGTGGCTTCTGGCTCCCTCTGAGTTTGGAACTAGAGCCTTATTTTTTAATCACACGAGTCTTTGTCTTCCTAAATACTGCAGTGTTTGTAGAGGGAGAAGGAAGCATGTAGGGGGTCTGTATCTCTAGAAGCTGATGAAGTAAAAAGGTCCAGGAGTTTAACACACAAGTTGGGGAATACAGAGCATAGGACTGGGAATTTTTGGAGATCTGTATTGAAAGTCCTGGCCCTCATACTGGCTAGCTGTCTAATCTTGACCCAAGTGAGTAAATTTGCTCCTTGGACACAACCAGTTCTTTGTACTGTAGCTCAATTGAAGTCAATAGCACTGCTGGAAGAAACTGTGCAGCCCTCCTGCTCTCAGTGTTCATTTTTGCTTCTAGCCTACCATAAATATAAGCAAAGGAAGAGTTTCTTTCTCTGATCAGCTAAGTTGACTCAACCTGAGGCTGCCTGATGACTAGACTCATGGCAAAGTTTTAGGGGTCTAGATTTACCTTGAATTCAAAACACTGCCTTAGTTTCTCCATGTGTCTGTTTATAATACTTCACAGATGCTAATGCCAATTTGATCTCACTGAAAAGTACTTGCAGATCTGGGGCTGAATGCCACAATGAAAATATAAAGTAGGCATTCAATAAAGAGACCTTTTGTTGTCACATATTTATAAACTAATTTGTCCAAACTGACAAGCCTTTATATTGCAAGCATGGACCCAAATAGTGATTTGTCCCCAGAAGACCTGTTGGTGTCAGTAACATGGTCTCAAGTTACCCACAGACACTGTCAGTGTAACACTTTGCATTTTTGCTGGCTTAACAGTCATTCAAAGTAATATTAAAAGATAGCGTGTTGGATGCTTTTACAATATGTTTCTGAAGGGAATATGTTCTGAAGGTGGGCTATCTATTGACAGTCTCAGGGTCAGATCACACACATCATATTCGGCTGTCAGAGCTCTCCTTGGCTTTGACTGACCTGAGATTTCACCCTCACTGCCACCCCCAGTTGCCCAGCGTGTGCTCACTAACACATGTATTTCTTCTGCTTAACTCTGCAGGGTGATTTTTTTTCCCATGTGGGTTTTGATGTAGAGTCGAGTTTCTGTTTCTGTTTCTTGCTATACTGTTTGGTGTTGCTGATGGGGAATAGCAGAAAAACTGATTATGTTCCTATTCTTGTTCACAAGGAAGAATGTTACAATTTTAATTGTATGTTTTAATTTTTCCTTCTTCTTCATCTTTTACGTTTTGAAATTCTGCATTTCAAAAGCAGGATCATTATCATTCAGAACATTAAAGCATGTCTTTTTAATAGCTTTTCCTTTTAATGCGGAATAATGGAATTGAGGAGAAAAAACAATCTGACTTGAAGGAAATTCTCTGTTATCTAAGGATTTTCAGTGTAGCCAACAAGAGAGGATCTTGAGTGCAGCTGACTTGGAGTGTTATCTTCTGCCTTGAGTAACTTGTAGGGTACAAAGAACCACTTTCATAATGTTATCACCAGTAAAGTCCATCTGGTCCTGCCAGTGACAAGGGTATTATTTCAGCTTTTTATTACGTCAGTGAGATTTTAGCATTTTAGGATTCAGCTGTCAAGCTGTTGGGGGAAAGAGGGGAAAGTTAGATTATAACTGAAACTCTGTTGGGGGAGAAATTAGATGAATATTTTGCCAGTAATTTTTCTACCCATATTTCCTTTTATTAGTCTCCTGATGGTTTGTCCTTATAAAATCAGATTAGAATGCAATGACTTGATTTGTTAAGCAGGCAGTGATGACAATGAACATCTGTTTGTCTGGTCCAGATTCCCATTAACACCTAGTAACATTGTCCTTTCTTGCTATTACTTTTATACAGAGCAGCACAGAAGCTTAACCTGTCTTCGAAGAGAAAGAAATACCATCCGCCCCTGCCACACACACACGACTTCTCTATTTATGCTACTAATTTTAGTGGCATCCTGCAGCTCTGTCCTCCCCCAGCACCACCATGCCTTCTGAGAGCTGTGTCCAAAATCAAGGACAACCCTGGCATTGGAAAGGTAACTTTGGATTTCAATTTTTAAAAATAGTTTTCTAGATGAATTTTAACAGAGCTGGAAGCTTTCAGCCTAAAAGAGGGTTGGATAGGCTCAATGGAAGGGTCTTGTGGTAGAGAGAGAGCCACATCCATTTGAATGTGCCTGAGAGCTGTTTTCTCCTGTTGACTTGGGAAAGAGTTGGTGAGCTCAGAGCAGATACAGTGCTAGAGTGTTGGCTCCCTTGAAGCCAACACTTAACATCACTGACAACAACATTGGCAAAAGGTTCTTTTGTCCCTCGCTCTATTAAAGTAAGAGGTGAACTTTCCTTTGACATCATCAGTCCAAAACCAGTGGACATACAGGCTTCACCTTTGGCAGAAGTAGTCTCTGCACTGCCAGTAAGGCTCAGCTGCTGGTGCTGGTGCTGTCTGCTGGGGTTAAGGAGATACATTGAGGGGGCTTTGTTTACCTCTGCTTCACACGTCATTGTAAATCAGGAGTGTGGAAATGAAGTAGCAGGAGGGAAGTAGACGTCTCTCCAGCTTAGGAAATACAGCACCTCTCAAATTGTAAAATTTGTGCTAATTTTATTTAAAATTAATTAAAATACAACCCAATTATTTAGAGCTTTACTCATATTTATAATTGCTTAATCATCCACACAGCAGAGTCTGAATAGTTATTTACATAAGTTACAAGAGATCGGTGTTTGAAGATAGAATTGAAGTATGTAATGTGCACAGGAGAGCTAAAATATGCACCTTGAGTAACCATACAAATCAGCATTAACATAAAGAAATTGTCAGCCTAAATACCGTAGCTGACACTGTTGCTCACAGAGAATACTTTGTATTTCTTAAGTCAGTGAGTTTGTGCTCAATGGAAAACAAGGGAGTAATTGGGGCTATTTCAAGCATGTGGAAACTCACAGATGAAACTGTGGTTTCTTCTGGTTTTCAAGTGTGTTAGAAAAGAGAATGTAGTATTAGATGGTGGAATACAGCAAAGCTGGCACAGTAATTTAGAGACTCCCAGGTGGATGAGGGTTTGCTAAGGGAACACCCTTTCTATGTGTGTGTTTTACTAGAGTCCATATGTTGTGCCTGCCTAGTCTCCGTGAGGCTTAGCACGTGGCCGTGGCACTAGGAATAACAGGGAAGTGGCATTTCTGAGGCTTTTTGCCTTAGGAAGACCTTTAAAGCATGCTTGTATCTCCTTGTGCCTTTGCACGTCATGGAACTTGTGTGCCTGCAGCTGTGTGTAGCCAACAGACTTCAGCCTTTTTTCTAAGCTATTAGGGGGGCTGGTGGAGCTTGCTAGCATGCCTTGTGCCTTGTGAAAAGCTCTGGTTTATCTGGTGTCCTCAAACAGATCAACAAAGCCTGAGAAAGATCAAGTGCATGATCCCAGATGGCAGGAGAGTATATGCCTTGGGTCGTGTGGTCTACCTACTTTCTTCATTAGTGAGCAGAGCAGAGGGCTTTCGAAGGGAAGTGTTCTAGCAGAATGGCAAGGGGCATGGCAGGACCTTGAGCAGCTGTGCTGCTCGGCTGTGTGAGCTTCTCCTCCAACATGGGCTATATATGTAGCGTGCTGGCAATGTGGGTGGTATTTCTCTCCTGCCTGGCACACTACACCAAGAATTTCCAGACTTTATTGGTCAACAATCTGCTGTTGACCCTCAAATGTCTCTGTTGTTCGACGCTCAGCTGAAAACTTTATTGAAGATACTGTTTGTTTGGGTCCAGGGTTCCAGTTGTGTCCTTACCATGTACTTGTTGACCACAGTTTGGAAGAATCCCGTGCTATGCTGGAGAGGCTAAGAGCAGTCTGCTTATTGAATCAGCCCTTTAATTCTCAAGTTAAGATCTAGACCATCCAAATGGTGATGGGATGTGGTAGTTACTAGTTTTAATGCTCCTCAAAAAATAAAGTAGCTAGACATCTTCTCTGATCCACAGTTTAAAATATGCAATACCTATTAAATGTCTCTCTTAACACATTCTTCTTTTGCAAGTTTATAAATTGCAGTGTTTGCCCATAAAAAAAAATCTCCAGCAATATAGCTTTTTGTAGAAATTGAGTCAGCACAAATGAAATCTTACGTATCCCAATTCTTATAATTTTCAGTCAAAGGAAAAGCGTCAGTCCTATATAGCTGTTCTTTTAGTACTAAACACTCATAGTTTCACCTTCTCTGAGCAATGTCAAGTCGCTTTTGATAACATTTAGCCCACTGTGCAGTAACATTCTCCATTATAATTTCCTCTTCACCAGGTTCTGCTGATTGAGATTTAGTCAGCTAGTATCTCATTATGAGAATGATGGGAATGAAGTAATTACCTTTCTTCCTCACTGCTTTAAGTATCATGGCAATTGAGAGAACAATCAGCAAACACAGGCAAATGTGCTGTGGTCCTCTGTTAACTTAGTCCCTCCTCTTTTAACAGCTTTTTACTTTGCATCCCTCCTGGTTATCTTTTTCCTTGGCTTTTTCTTGCAACCTGTCCAATAATAAGTAGGAGATACACAGAGAGGACAGAATCAGTGATGGATTCTGGAGTCACATTTTCCTACTGTGGCATCTGTGTCTGTGGCTGGTGGTCTCCTTGGTTTGTGTGATCATTCCCATGTCAGTGGTGTCCCTCACCCTATTATTACTGTGTGGTTACAGTGGGTTAAACAGCTGGTGGGGCAGCCTTTTCCTTCATCACCTCCCAGCTTGCTGCTGTCTTGTCTTTCGTGGTCAGTTATGATGTGGAGGGCTGGTTCCTTGCTGGTTTCTGCTGCACATATAAGAGTGTAGCAGTGCTGATGGGCTAATTCCCACCTAACTTCACCTTACGAAACTGAGAATGACCCATTGAGGACCAGTCCTTATTCTCTTCAAGGAGATGATTTCTCTGAGCACAGATAGCTTGAAAAGTTTTAATTCCCTTCTTGTCAAATGATTTCTTTCAGAGCAGGACAGGATTCCATAGAGAAACTCACTCTTACTGTGAAGGGGCTGGAGAGATAAAATTTAAGGAGAAGAGTATAAGTTGTGTGAGAATGAAAAATATAGTAACAAACTGGAAACCCAGGAAGTGTCTAAGATACTTCAGTGGGAGCAATGTGGCCCCATTTATGAAAAGCTGAAGAGGCGAATGATATGTCAACTGTGTGGAAATACCATTTATTCTAAGTGAGTAAAGCCTGAATACTGCAATGACTAATTATTATCTGTAATGGCACACTCTAGGTAGTCCCATTTCTTTTGTAAGTCTGCTGGAAGCTTAGAGCAAAGTACATGTTGAAACATTTACAATGACCAACATGATTGGCTTTCTGTATTTCTGCTGCAACAGTAGTTCTTAACATTTTTGCCCCCACTGATGCTCAAGGTTGTCTTTTAGTAGGTATTCAATGCATTGTAAGAGACACAGGAACAGAATATGGAAAATGTGATGTCACTTGGTGGCCAAAAGTGAAAAAAGGGCTCCAGAGGGAATTTACATGTATAGTGTAAGGCTGACTTTCAGAATGGGCAACTGGGCAAAGTGGTTGAAACAATAATAAAGATAAAAATTAGCAGACAGGGATTAATGTGACATAGTAGGGATCAGGTGATGGACCTTTTAAAAGTGGAGCACATACGTTAGTGTTCTGTAGAAGAGTCAGTGAGCATTTGAATAGGGTTGGTCTGGTTGATAGAGAGTATTTGGATTTTGAAAAAGCTTTTGACAAATGCCCCGACCTAGGTTTCTTAAAAAACCCCTAAGCTGTCATGTATTTAGTGGCTTAATAACTAGTAGAAAACAAGAGGGCAGATTTCAAGTTAGCAGTGGTGTCTTATGGAGGTCTGTGATGTTTGGCGTCTTCCTAAATAGTTTGGATGAGTTGGTGAAGCTGCATATTCAGAAAAGCCAAAGCTGAAACTGACTGTGAAGACCTGGAAAAAAATGCCATGACACTGAAGTTACTGGGTGGATAAAGAGGCAGATGAACTTCGATATTGATTAACACAAGATAATGTGCACAAGAAAAGGAGCTCTAACAGTGCATGCACAAACAGTAAGCTGTAGTGAAATCAGGCATGACCGTAACCCATTTTACCAGCCATCGTGGAAGCTACAGCATTAGGTTTGTTATCTTGAGTCTGAGCTTCTAAAGAAATACTTATTTGACTGTTCAGGAGGCAAGAAGATTAAGCATCTTAGAGTATGTGATATAAGTACATGTTCCTCTTCAGGCTCATAATGCTTAAATAACAGTCACTCATTGATGTTTTTTTTCTTCACTGTCCTTCTTCCTTGAGGTAATATCCTTAAAAAAGTTTAATAGAGGATGGTAATAACTGAAGACATGTAAAGATTTCCGCTCCTCCCCCATGTATTTATCTCTAAATTATCTTAGAAGGGAGCTATTGCTGTGGTTGAGCGAGGAAAGGGCTGGATTCTAAGACCCCAGTATGCAGAAGCAGCAGCAGTGTGGGTTTTGCTGCTGGTACAGACCTGGACCCCAGTAAGCCTAAAGATTTGGAAAAAAGACCTCACCAAACAAATTAACATCAGTACCTGGAATTTTACCTTCCTTACTTGACAGGCATTTTCAAAGCTGCCTTAACATGACTGTTGGCTTATCCCACCAGAGAAACTCCCTTTGACCAAAGCACTGATTCTGTGGAGTTTGGGGTTTGGTTTTTTTTTTTTTTTTTTTTTTTTAATAAAATTTAGAACTGTAAGTCTGTCTGGGACCAGTGTTTCATGTAATTGACAATAATCAAACTCTCATGCACAAAGGAAAATCCCACTACCAATGCAAACTGGATACTGAAAGGAATTTTGCTCGCTATTGATAAATGTTATGTAGCAAATTTCATACCTTTCTCTTGAATGTGCCAAAAACATCAGAGTCCAAATCATTTAGCTGAATCCTACTTAAAAGGCAATGATCCAGTACAGTATGATTCTTGTAACTGAATCATTTTTGTGGTCTCCCTGGGTGTTATTAAATTTAATGTCAGAATAGTAGGAAAG